CTTGCCTGTGCTCCCCCATCACAGCACCTATCACCGATGTTTTAAATCTGGAGCTGTGCAACCCTGGGAACATGACTTAACCTCTCTGTGCCCTGGTTTCTTCCTCTGTAATAGGGGGCAGTGCCCGCTTCACAGTTGCTGCCTCCTTCACAGATAAGTAAGCTCTAAGCATGGCCGCTTTTAGGCCAATGTTTGCACGTGGTGCCTGTGTCGGTCATCCTTCTGTGACTCCCACCTGGACTCTGAGCCCTGCCAGGGCAGGCCCTGGTCTGTCTCGCTCACGTGGACTCCTGGTCACCCCGGTTAATGGCGCAGCATGGCTGTGGGCTGGTAGAAGGTATGCACGAGCCGGCCCACGGAGGTGTCTTCCCCGGGCGACGGTGGCCTGGGTCCTCGAGGTGCCTGGGCCAGCAGGGCTCTGGGCCGCGAGAGCTGGAAGTCAGCCCAGAGGCCAACCCGGGCTCCCTGGGAGCTTGGGGGCATCATCGCAGTCCCCAGGGCTGCCAAGTGCAGACAATAAACTGGGGAAACCCTGGCGGGTAGGTCATTAGGGTCCCCAAGGCCTCATGATGGAGATGGCAGACGAGCTACTCTGGCTGCTGCTCTTGGGGTCCAAATGCCACCATTCAGGAGGATTCCAGAGACCAACCTGCTCGGTCCAATCCCTGCCCCTGGCTCAGGCTCCGCCCAGAGCTGGCTCCTACGGGGCCTAAAAGGCACAGTAAACATCACCAGTACGGCCCCCTTCCTGAGCCTGTTTACAGGGAACATTGAGGCTTGTGGGGCTGCCTGGGGGGGAAGCGCGCATTGTCCCCATGGAGGGGTTTGATGGCCTTCCACAGGAGCCCCTGAAGGTGCGGACCATCTGTCACTTAGAGCGTGTTTGGGAGAGAATGACGACGGGACCCGAAGAGGCAGAAATGTCGGGAAAGGGAGGACACGCGGGTGGGAGTCGAGCAGCAGACAAAGGCAGGGGAACCGGAGCGAGCAGTGGGCAGCCCCGCGTGGCTGGACGCAGCACGCACGTGCGCGTGTGTGCACGTGTGTGTGCGCGCACGTGTGTGTGCACGTGTGTGTGCATGTGTGTGTGCACGTGTGTGCGCGCGCACGTGTGTGTGCACGTGTGTGTGCACGCGTGTGTGCACGTGTGTGCACGCGCGTGTGTGTGCACGCGTGTGTGTGCGCGCGCGCGCGCGCATCTTGGCTCGGGGAACGCTGACCTGTCCTCCTGCCTTGTCAGCAGCCTTCCTGTGCCCCGTGTTCGCCCCGGCCGGTGCCGAGGACTGTCCTCCCACAACTTCCGGTTCCTCTGCCAGGTCTGACCGCGTGGAAAGGCCAGGTGTCGACCCCACGTCCCATCAGTGGGTTGGGTCCCCGCTCTGTACCCACAAAGCCCCAGGCCTGCTATCACAGCACTTGCAACCGTGTCCTGGAATTGCCCGTTTGAGTCCATGTCCCTTACTAGACTGTAGCCTCCTGAGGGCTGGGCTGGTCGTTCTGGTGCCCGTTGTGTGTCCAGGGCCCAGCCTACTGTGTGGGTGGCACACAGTAGGTGTTCAGTGAACTGCCTGCAGAATGAACATGGATGAGCCCACGGGGCAGCTCTTGTCCCCAGAGTCCCGCTCGGGGCTGGCTTCACACGGGCCCCACAGCTTCAGTGGCTCTCCATTGTGTGGGGACTCAGGCCCCCTCTCCGGTGCTGGAGTCAGCTCTGCCTCTCCCACCTCCCAGGGTGGGAGGGTCAGCCCAGCTCTCCAGGGAAGCCTTGAGGCTTCCTGTCCCCATGAGCCTTTGCTCCTGCTGTATCTCTGCCTCCTTCCCAAATTCCACCTTCTCCAAATGTCAGGCTGGTTCTCCCTCCCGCCGGAGCCCCCCACGTGCTCTGTGCGGGAAGGGGCTCCCAGACCACCCGGCTTGCCTTTGCGTGGGAGACGTGGGCTCCTGTTAAGAGGCGCTGGTGTTTGGTGGGCTCTTCCTCTGAACTCCAGTCCTGACTCTAACATGTAATAACTGTGTGACCTTAAGAAAAGGTTCAGCCTCTCTGGGCCCGTTTCCACGACAACAAATGGTTGTACTAAGCGTGGCTTATAGCAGAACGTCTGTGTGTGAGGCCAAAGCCTGGGCACTGACATCGGACACGGCCTGGCTAGACCCTCAAACTTCCCTGGGCCCCAGTTTCCTCATCTGCAAATGGGCTAAGGAGATGCAGTCGCCAGTGGGTGGGGAGGCCCAGCGAGGTGGTCATCTTGCCTCTCCCGTCACTCCCTTCCGCCCTGGGTTGGGTGTCATTCCTCCCTCTCTTCTCTGCCACCCCGAAACTAGACCTGGCCCCCACTGCCCCCGACCCTGCTTTGTCACAGGTCTGCCCCTGGACCAGGGTGGCGTGGGGCGAGGGCGGACTGGGGTGGAGACCCTGATTGCTTGGAATGAGAAGGACAGACGGGAACATGACGAGACAAGTGGGGGCACACCTGCCTTGCCCCCTCCCAGAGGTTCTGGGGTTGCAGGGAGCAGGAGCTGGGGCACCAGCTTCAGTCATGGCCACCTCCCTGGCCAGCCCAGCCATGCTGCTCCCCAGAGCCCAGGCAGGGCTGGCCACCCGCAGCCTGAGCGGAAACATACCAGGGAAAAGGACCCCGTTGGGAGCCCTGGGAAGGGGAAGGGGCTGAGAACCTGCGGACGCCTGAGAAGGGATCCCCTCACCAGTTTTGCGGCACACCCTCCTCCCTCGCCTTCCTTCAGGTCACCCCCATATAAAAATTCAAGCTCTGCCTGCAGTGGGGGAGGGCATGTTGGTGCAGGGACCTACAGAGGATGGGCGTGAGGGGGGTGGGGGGCATTTGCAGTCTCCGGGTCAGTGGGTGGACCCCAGAATGTGGAGTCTGGGGTCACTGGGACAGCTAACTGTGGGACGGTATGTATGTGCGCCACCCGTGGTATTTCTAGGTGTGTGGTGCGGGTCTGTACACGTGTGTGTGTCTGTGGTGCACGTATCTGTGTGTGTCTGTGCGATGTCTTTGAAGTGTGTGCATGTGTGTCTGGCGTCTGCGTGCGTGTGTGGCGTCTGCCCAGTGCGTTGGCTACATGTCACGTCTGTGTGTCTGGCGCCTGTGTGTGTGGTGTGCGTCTCCGGGTGTCCCCGCATGTCTGCGTTTGTGCTGTGAGTGGGATGTGAGGCTCAGAGCTGACGTTCAAGGTCCTCTGGACACAGAACCCATGCTCGTGGAGGAGGAACGAGAAGGGAGGAGTGGGGGGATCGCCAGAGTGCGAAAGAAGAAATGAAAGAGTGGGGAAGGGTCGCGAGGGGGCCGGAAGGGGCGCCCGCCTGCGCCTTCCCCCCAC